TCTTTGAGTCTGTCTCGGCACATGAAGTTCAGTGATGTTTGCTTCACATTCGCAGTGACCCGGTTGTTTGCTTCTGTCGGAATCGGTTTCTGCTTGAGCTTTTTCAGAGCACTCTTCTCTTCTGTATAGAGTATGCCTTCACACTAGTTCAGCTCCTCTTGAGTTGTTCCAGTTCTAGGCAGTGCCTGGGAAGTGGAAGTCATTTCTGGTTGGGACATTGATGCTGGGCCACCTGGAAAGAGGCTTTTCTTTGTACTCGTCACTTGTATTACAGTATACATGTATAGTCAAATGCATTTTGAAAATAACACAGGACATTAATCAACAAATTGATTACTGTGCAGACTTACATAGATTAAAGTGTTGACTGTCAGTGGTTCAAATTTTACTTCCATGGTTTGGTTTGTGTAAAATTTTAGTGTTAAACAGCTTGTCAACTTTTTTATGATTTCCCTGTTACAGATTATATGGGTGGCTCATGATTGATCGATCATGAATTTTTATTGTTCAGCTTAACTACTTTTTTTTTTTTTTGGAGGGGAGGGGGGGGGGGGGGCTCCTACAGCTCCCTGGAGCTATAAGGCTGATATGTTATATTTGTCTGGGGCATCAGTCAGTTGGAGTTCAGCTTACCGGGGACCACGAGCCAGAACCTGGCCCCCTCAGAGAGACAAATGGAGGAATGGCCTATAGAAACATCCATGTGGTTGGGGGCATTCCATGTGTGCCATCGACCAGGATTGGCACCTAGAAAGGTAGGCATAACAAAACACCCCACTTGGTAAGAAAGAGTGACCGAAAACCGAACAGGGAGGCAGAACTCGCCCTACAACTTACGGAAAGGAGCAAACAACCAAACGTCACATCTCACCACTGTGCCGCCTGTCTGTGCAGCTCCCCCCCAGGAGAGGTAAGGGGGAGCCCTCCCCCCCCCCCCTCCCCCCGCGCTGGCTACCCAAGCCATTTAGTTCGTTGGCTGATGTTGTCCGGGGTGGACATTGACTCTGGCCTCGGATTCTAGTGCAGTTGTGTGCCATAGTGGTGTGTTTCTGCTGCGTGTGAGGCACGGTGGCCAGGTGTACTTTGATTAGTAAAGGGGGCTGCATGCACTCAGGGTTTTTTTCTGGGTGCCTTGTAAGTACTACCCTTGGGTTCTAGGGTTCCCTTCCATAGAACTTTTAGGAACCGCTTCCGTAGGGGGTCTTGCCGCTCGGCACTTACCCCTCCCATGGGGCCCAGCTGGGGGTTTTCGTGGCTTCTGTTTGCCTTGGGTAGAAAGTGGTATCATTTGCTGGTAGCGGTGCAAGGTACTGCGCAGCTCGCTGACCTATGCGGCAGCTAGTTTCTGTTCCTTCTGGAAATGTTGTCCTTTTGTGGGTTTTTCTTTTATTTTTGTTTTCTTGCCTGAAGGGGGTCTGCCTGGTTTGGCTATTGGTTCACTTCTGTTTGGGTGGTCCTCCTCTAGGCCCCCATGATTGGACACGTCGCAGGGGTACAGCTTTAGCAGATTCCCTTGTTAGTTTGGGCCCGGCCAGTTTTGCAGTACCTTGCCTGGGCTTTCCATAGCAGTCAGCCTGTGGGCCCTGGAAATCCCCATTGGGGCTTATTAGACCTATGGATGCATCTTCAGAATTCCATCTCACCTCGTGCGAGTTTGAAGGTTGCTGCACGCCCTTGTCCTAGGGCGACAGTCACTGCTTTTGCCTGTCGAGTCAACGACACCGATGACTCAGTCTTGCAAATTGTGCTCTCTGTTTGTTCTCCAGTTTACCCATTCTTATGACATGATATTCAGGATCAGGCAGCATCTGCGTTGCATGCTCATTTCAGATTGCTGCAACGTGCTAGGTTGCTTGCCCACCCGGATGCCCAGAGGCTGCCCTTTTGTGGTTCTAGGGATCCGGACCTGGGGGCGTTAGTCACTTCGACTTTGGTTCAGTCCACGCTCCCCAGTCCCTTCCCCTGTTGTTCATTCTGTTCCCCCCTCCCCTGCTTCCAGCTCCCAAACATCTGAGGGTTTTGAAGTCTGGGCAGGGTTTAGTTGGTAATGAGACTCGAGCAGCTTCGGGGACTGCCCCATTCGGGTTGGGGACGGAGGCATTCGAGCCGATTCCTCCAGCCGAGGCTTCTGAGCCCCACCAGCATGCCCCCTTCTTTTCTGCCTTCCCCCTAGACTCTGCCTTTTCTTCAGGGGTAAAGGGTATGGAGGACTGCTCTGCCCCAGGTTCTGGTTTGGAGGATTCTGGGGCTGGGGAGAAGTTGACCTGGGGGACCTTGGGCCCCTTTGACCTCGCTTATGTGTTGGTACCTTCTTTGCGGGGGCTTGTTGTTACAGGGAGAATGGGTTTTCTAACCCCCCCCCCCCAATCCCTGTATGAGTATGATTTAGGGTCGGCTCTTCCCTGGGTTCGGTTCCAGGATCCCTTGGGTTTCTTGGCTCCTTCTTGCAGGAGGATTTCTGCCTTTCATATCTCATCTAAGGAGGTTCGGGAGGTGCTTGCTGCTTACCTCCTACGAGACCCGGATTCTGCCTCCGTGATGGATCTGTCCTTGTTTGAGTTCGGTTCTTCCTTGTATTGGGTGCGTTTGGAGGTTCCAGAGTTTTCCTGGCTGGCAGACTGCCCTTTCTGTTTATTGGGGGCATGGCATGGGTTCGGTCGAACCAGCATGCTTGATTGATGAGAAACATCTACTATTCTGCAGGTTTACCTGGGGGGGGGGGGGGGAGTTTGAGCACCTTAATCCGTGCTTGTTAGTCCGTGCTTCCTCAGGATGTTGGCTGTATGCAGCTGAATATGCATGTTCCTTCCTTTTCGGCATCCTTGGTCGACGAGGATTTGTGTGCCTGTGGGCATTTGGAATAGGTCTTGCGCTTCTTTTTCCTTTTCGAGCTGTCTTCGGCCTGGCTTGAGGATGTGGAGGCATTGAGTGCCAGGCCCTCATCCCGTGCCCTGACCTCGGCAGCTTGGACGTCAGCGCGCTGTTGAAACTCTTTGCACTGATTCTCAAGGAGGTGGTGTGTGTGTTCTTTGCTTCTTTCCTTGCATGCCGTCAGGCTGTGCTCACTCTTTCTTTGGAATCCGCTTGGGCCCTGGCTCTTAGGTTTTTGTCACTGTTTTGTCCGTTGCTATTTGCGGAGACTGCGGTCACACAATTTCTGCAGGCGGCTTCTTCAAGTTGTCGTCCTTTGTCGGACTTGTTGGTTCTCTGGGGTGGCCGTTCATGGCCTTCTCGGAAGGATTGTGCCAGGGCCTTGTCTGGTAGATGAGGTGATCGCTCTGTTCATCGGTTGTCTTCTTGTAAGGAGCGTCGGCTCGTTCGCGGTTTGCCCCGTTGACAGGGCGATGCGGGAGGTGCTTGCGCTGTTTGCTCATGCTTGGTTCCACGATTTGTGGGAATTTTGGGTCGTATCCACTGGCTTGTGGTGGCGTTGGTTGGCTCCTCCTTTGGGGGACTTGGGGCTCACGGAACAGGCTTCTTTCTCTGCGCTCCATTGGGTCATCTCGGAGTGGGTGTGCTTCAGTGTGATTGAAACGATCCCCCGTCCCTCAGGTGGGTTTTCAGCTTATTTCCAATGCAGAAATGGGATTGTGCGGATCAGTGGTTCGTTCTGGACTTTGAACCCCTGGAATCCTTGCCCCTCTTCTTGAATGACCACTGTCTCATGTCCGGCTTCTTTTGGAGCTGGGTGCCTGGATGGTGTCCCTGGACCTCTAGGATGCATATTAATAAGTTGCTATTCATCCAGGGTTCAGGGACTGGTTAGATTTCGTGGTGGGGCATCAGGCTTACCGCTTTCGTTGCCTTTCTTTTGGGTTGAATCTGGCACTTCACATTTTCATGAGTCTTACCCGGGTCGTGGTGACTTGTCTGCATCTGTTAGGGGTTCGGGTTCTGGCCTACCTCCACGACTGGTTGGTGTGGGCTCCCAGCCAGTCTGTTTGTCTGCTCACCAGGGGTGTGGTTCATTCCCAGCTTGCCGAGTTCAGGTTCCTGGTGAATTGGAGGAAGTCCCATCAAGTTCCATCCTAGGCTCAGAAATGGCTGAGTCTTGTGTGGGACTCTTGACCACTTCCTTGTCTCTCCCTCCAGAGTTGTTGCTGCGGCTGCAGTCCAACCTTTAACTGTTTCGGGGGGGGGGGGGGTTCCTGGGTCACTCGATGGTTGCTCGAGTAGTTGTGCAGATCGGTCCGGTCAAGTACCTGGGTGGTTCGGTCTTCTCTTCCTCTCTTCGCATCTGGTCTTTTTGACGCCAGTTGTATGGTGATCAGGTGGCTTTGTTGATGGTGTCCCACCTGCGAGCTTCGTCTTGGCGACCGTATGAAGAGATTTCCTGGCATTCTTTCTGCCATTTTCTCCCTCTCTTAGTAGGTTGTCTTCTGCTTCTGATCAGGCTGTCTTGTCCTTACTTTCTTGGCCTTTCAGGACAGTCATTTGATGCCAAATGCCAAATACTGTTGCCTCATATCGTGCGGCGCTGGCAGAGCTGCTCCTGCTTTTGGGGTGGATGTCACATTGACCCCGTTTTGTAAGCTAGCTTGTGCTTTTATTTCACCTCCGGCTTGCTCATGCGCCACCTGAGCCGTCCTGGTCCTTGGACGGGGTGCTCTTAACTGCGCGGACAGGCAGTGCGGCGGTGAGATGTGATGTTTGCTTGTTTCCTTAAGTTGTAGGGCAAGTTCTGCCTCACTGTTTAGTTTTCGGTCGCTCTTTCTTACCAAGTGGGGTATGTTTTATTATGCCTACCTTTCTGAGTGCCAATCCCGGTCGATGGCAGATATGGAATGCCCCCAACCACATGGGGGTTTCTATAGGCCATTGCTCCCTTTGCCTCTCTGAGGGGGCCACGTTCTGGCTCGTGGTCCCTGGTTGGCTGAACTCCAATTGACTGATGCCCCAGACTAATATAACATATATCAGCCTGATAACTAAATGGAGCCTCTGGGGCTCACCCAGAAAATGGCGTTTCATTGCATTCAACGCTTGTTCTTTTCTTGCAGTAAAGGTGATGTCTTATCTATGGCTGAAGTTAGAAGCATAGTTACAGACTACATAAAAGTGAAGGGCCTTCAAAAAGAAGGACTTAACCCTTAACATGCTCGGGGTCTAATATCCTGCCATCCGCACAGGCGCATGTCATTTTGAAAAAAAAAAAAAAAAATTTTTTTGCTAATCTGTTAAGTTCTGTTCACTGATCACGGGAAAAATAAAAAAAAAATTCTATTGTACTTACTTTTGTTGCAATAGAGCCGAGAAGCACGGTGATGACGTCACAATCTGCATGTTCGCTCATGCAGTACACGCCCGGAAGGTGTTACGCGCGGTCCTCAAACAGCCAGAGTTGCCACAAATATATTTTCGCGCTATTTATTTACAATGTCTAAGCGCATTTTATCTAATTTTTTTTCACTAATTGTGTTTCAAATACTGTTTGAACATATTTTGTATCAATAATTGTTGCATATTTGAGTATACACAGGCGCACACAAATGTTTTCAATTACGGCAATATAATATGTCATTACAGTCTATTATATTGTATGTTCTGCTTATATTTGTATATATTTACACACACACGCACACGCTATCTGCTTATATGTTTACATATTTACACACTCGCACACGCTATACACACTTTAAAGCACACTTAGAAGATTTCTAGACTGTGGTAGTCATTGAAGCAGTCGACAGCACATAATGGGATACCACACGTTTCACACCATGTTTGCACAAGCTTCCGTTTCTTGTTTCTACGTGTCGTTGTTTTACACACCAAGCAATCACGTTGGGCTATTGCACGCTTCACACCAGGTGGCAAATACTTGGGTCTGTGTGCTAGGAAGCCTTCAGTGTGAGCGAGGCGTGGAGTACCAGCATGATGCAACAGTGGGTTTATGATGGGCCGCTGAATACCTGGGACATCTTTTGCAAACTTTCCTAATAACTGTATTGCAGCATCAAATACAAAGTCACGGAAAGTGGGCTTACGTCCAGTTCTCACAAGGTACATGTTGAAACAGTTCAGCATGCTCATGTCCACAAGATGGAAGAACACTTTTTTCGTCCACCTACATGTCTTCCGCACACACTCTGCAGTGCCAATCATCATGTCTGATTTATCAATCAACCGCATGTTGATATTATAGTCTAAAACACAGTCTGGCTTATATAGTGGTGCGTTTGTTTTATGGTTCACTTTCCCACTGTTCACCATTGTTCCATCATGAATTGTTGTCAACAAGTTCACCTCTCTTTTGTCTTTCCACCGAACTGACAGAATGTTATCACTTTTCCTTCTCTGACACTCACCAACTGCAATGTCGTTGTCAAACACAGGCATTTCCCTTCGTTGTGGCTTTACTGTACCAACCAATCCGGTTCTATTTTCTAGCAAGAACCGAGCTAGCAAGGGACTTGTATAGTAATTATCTGTGTATAAAATGTGTCCCTTGTTCATCCACGGAGCCATGATGGTCTTCACTACACTCCCCGAGAATCCATGTTCGTCGTTACCGGGAATGTCTACATCACTAGCCGAGTACAGAATCATGTGTAACACGTATCCTGTCTCACAATCACAAAGAACAAAAAATTTCAGGCCAAATCGGTTTCGTTTTGAGGGAATGTACTGTTTGAATGGAACACGTCCCTTGAAAAGTATGAGAGATTCATCAACCACCAGCTTCTGTGCTGGTACGTAAAAATCTCTGAATTTTCCAATAACATCGTTCATGTAGTGCCTCACTCGCCACAGTCTATCATCAGGTGTTTAGTCCTGAACACTTCCAAAATGTAGACACCTGAGGAGTATCTGAAACCTGTCTCGTGACATATATTTCCCGAATAAAGGTGTTGGTATTGTCTTGTCCTTGCTCCAATAGTCATTTATTGCATGTTTGTGACAGTGCTTCATCAACAAACAGAGTGCCAAAAACACATACATTTCCGCCACTGTGGTATTTTTCCAACGCTGCAGTCGTGAAAATTCTGTGATTTCCCTCTCAATCAGGTAAGCAGCATGCAGGTTCGTTTGGTGTACAATGTATTCCATGAGTGGTTCATCATAGAATGCTGTAAAATATTCCATCTCAGCCATGTCCTCACCTTGATTAGGGAAAAGGTTTGTAATCCCTACATCTTTATCGTCAAAGTGAGGAATATTAGGAATAAAATCGTCACCATCACTCCACTCAAGTATACCAGGCGTCCTGCGAGATGCAGAGGAAAGACGGCGAGGAAGCGATGCATACCGGCGACCAGGAGCTGAATATCGTCTGCGAGAAGCACGGCGGCTACGTGCACGTGAGGTGGGTGCACGTGAACACGAGGGTCTTGGTCCCTCATGTGGTGCCATGCGGTGGCGCTTGGCCGGGCGAGATGCTGCTGACGCGACAATTTCTCGCCCAGTTACACCACTGGTACCAGCCACAGGCTCAATAAAACTTTGATCTGAGTCACTAAACCCAGAAAAGGAGTCACCTCCCTCTGACTCGTCACCCTCAAACAGAAAATATCCACAGGAACTGTGAGGTCGTGGTAGAATTGGGGTAGAAAATGGGCGAGGAGGCATGGGAGAGCGTATAGGCCTCGCCATGGCATGGCGGTCATTCTCACTTTCACTGCTGCTGCTACTATCACCCGACAACTGTGTATAATCCTCATCGTTGTCTGAATCGTCAAACACACTTTCTTCACCTTCAGAGAATAATTCGTGGGCTATTTGCTCTGGGGTGAGGGACTGAGTGGTGCGTGCCCGTGAGGCGTTTGACCGTGCGCTCGCCATGGTGACTCTCGCTAAACTGAGGCCTCCCATGCCATCGGATCGTGAGCTGGATTTTTTTTCAAAATGGCCGCTGTTTACTAGAGCCCCTGGGCAGCGTATGGGACCCCCAGCTACACCGCGGGCCATTCAAATCGTGCGCGGTACCCATACACTTCATATGAAGTGAAGCGCAGTTGACTGGTAAAACGATTTACACTTCATATGAAGTGATGCGCACTTTAAGGGTTAATCTCATATTGTGTTCATGTATTACATGTACAGTGTAGTGTTTGTCTGTACCCTTTACCAAATTGTTCTGCATGTAAATATTTATTATGTTTTCCTTCCCTGTATTTCTACATATAACCTACCTCTCTGGTAAGTAATTATCTTCAGTAGGGATGGTTTATGGTTCAGTCCTTCTTGTTGGCCTATTTTCCCAATTGGCTAATACTTTTATTTCATCCAGATCCCAATTTGTGAACCCTAATGGAACTCTTACCTGTCTTGCTGTAAACAGCAAAAAATATGGTTAATTCTTCCCGAGTCTTTCTGACTCCAGGTCACCTACCTCACCTAGGGTCAGCTAGAGACAGCTCGTCTTGTCTTGTATTGCTTTCTTTCAAAATCACATTTTCTGATTTTGTTATTTCAATTTCCTTTTGCCTTTCAAGTACTTACAGGCACTTTTCACAAAGTTAAAGATTATTTGTCTCCCAAATTTCTCTGCCTTTCTATTTGTATGGGTAATAAAAATTCATAATCAAGAATTTAATAATGAAAATAGGGTTAGTGTATTGGAGCTTGTGTCTTGATAAGTTCTCCAGTTAGTGTATTGTCGTTGGCAAGGTTTCGGGTTTCTCTTGATCAGAGTCTTGACTTGCAAGACTCATTCTTCTCAAATTGGCTATTTGAAATCAGGTTAGTGAGTTGCAGTAGAATATCCCTTTTTAGTCCTGCTTGTTCTAGTGGTACCCCGTCACTGTCCGGCCCGTTGCCGCCGTGAGGGGGCTTGGTGGGCAGCTGCCGGAGTGTGATGCTCCATGGGTCAGTCCTCTGTCCTTTTGCAGCCTTATGCTCCTGCTGCTGCCTTTACCAATTTTGCCAGACCCCTTTTCCTTTTCCTCGTTTTTCATTGTTCTCCCCCCTCTTCTCCTATCAAATTGTCATTTCCTACCGACCTTTTGCCTGTTTTGATTATTTTTTCGACCTTCTTTTGTTTTGACGCCCGGGTGTTTGAGGAGGCATACTCTTGCACCCGTAGAACTGTAGTACCCAACGTCTCTAGCGAGGGGACCCTTTTATTGTCAATCCTCCTTTCGTCTCTGAACCCGCTCTCGACGGACTCACGGTGGTGGCATTTGTGGGGCGTATACTCACGATGCACCCCTGGGGGGCCCTGGCAAGATCGGCGATAGCTTCTTTTTGGGTGTCCTGCCTCTAATTGTGGCTCCATGGTGGGTGTGGGGGCACATTCGTGAATGAAAATTTTTCCTCGTTTTCATGGCTGATAATGTTTCCCTTGTACCTTCTCAGGCTCGTGGGGTGGGCGACCAAGCCCCGGAGTCGGACTGTGTTGGAAGACCAGGCCCTGTAGCCCCTGCTGCATTGGGCCCCGACGACCTGACTACTCCCATCAGCTCCCCCTCCCTCCCTCTGCGGTAGGGTCGAGGAGTCCCCCAGCCCCCAGTGATGACCACCTCGTCCACTGGCACGGCTTCGTCTCTCATTGTGACTATTGCGCCTTTTAACCCCTCTCTCTCTGGGGGTTCTCAACGCTGTTCCCGCCACGGCCGCACTCGCACGATCCCTTCCCGTAATAATACTTACAACGCCTTGTTTGGTCCCGCTTTGTAGGCTAAATACTTTGATCTCCACCATCTGGATTCTACTCATCCTGACGATTTCTCCCTCTATAAACACCTTGTTGATTCAGTAGATACCTCTGTTACTTTTAACTCCACCAGTTACGGTACGCGTGTCGTCGCTGCTCCCTCTCAGGATGCAGCTACTCGCTTAGCCGCTTTGTCCTGCATTGGAGAGACCCCTGTTCGGGTCTCCAAAAATGCTTGGTTAAATGCCAGTGTTGGCACTGTTCTCCTCCCACACCACGTTGCAACTGGTGTTCGGGACCGCAAAGATTGCCATGAGGATATTAAACATATCCTCGAAGCCCAAGGCCATTCTGTCCTCCAGGTGAACACGTTTACTCGACCCCCTCGTGGTCGTCGCCGTCAGCCCCTTCGAGTTGTAAAAATCACCTTTGATAGTAGGGTCCTTCCGGCCTCTATTATTCTTGCTGGTGCCAGATGCTCCGTTCAG